CCATCTTGGCCTGATTTTCAAGAGATTTCAAGATTATGGACTCAAAATTAATCCTTCGAAATGCACTTTTGGAATGTCACAAGTACAGTACTTGGGTTACGAAATTTCGTCACAGGGAACCAAGCCTCTTCAGTCCAAAATTGAAGCAATCAAGTCCTACAAAAAACCTCAGACAGTTGTCGAACTAAGAAGATTTTTGGGCATGGTCAATTTTTATCGAAGGTTCATCAAAAACGCGGCACGGAATCAAGCACTTCTAAATGAGTATCTTCATGACAGCAAGAAGAACGACAAGACTCCAATTGCATGGACTCTTGAATCAGACGAAGCATTTTATAGTTGCATCAACGACATCAGTAACGCAGCACTGTTGGCACATCCCAAAGAGAATGCTGCACTCATACTAACTTGTGATGCTTCTGATCTTGCCATTGGTTCCACACTAGAGCAAATGATTGATGGTCATCAGTATCCTCTTGGATTTTTCTCTAAGAAACTTTCGCCTACTGAGAAGAACTACTCTACATATGACAGGGAACTTCTTGCCATCTACGAATCAATCAAGCATTTCCGTCACATGTTGGAAGGCAGGATTTTTGTCATCAGAACTGATCATCGTCCCCTCACTCACGCTTTCAATCAGAAGCCTCAAAAAGCATCACCACGCCAAATTCGACAATTGGACTTCATTTCTCAGTTCAGTACCAACATTCAGTACATACCAGGTGAACAGAATGTTGCTGCTGATGCTCTTTCCCGTTTAGATACAATCACCATGCCAATTTCTGTGTCAACTGAGGAAATTGCTGAGCAACAGAAAGAGGATGAAGATCTACAGTCTCTTCTATCTGGAGACGTAACAACAGGACTGAATCTGCAAGCATTCTCCCTGGATTCAAACCAAACCATCATCTGTGACACTTCAACCAACACAATCAGGCCCTTCGTCCCGAAAAATTTAAGGAGAAGAGTTTTTGATATGGTCCATAAACTTTCTCATCCCAGTGCCCGTTCGTCAAAGCAGCAAATCAGAGGAAAATTCGTCTGGACCTCCATGCACAGAGATATTGTCTACTGGTGCAAAACATGCATACCTTGCCAAAAATCGAAGATCCATCGTCACAATAAACTAACACCTCTGAATTTTCCTTTGACTGACCAGAGATTTCAACACGTTCACATAGACATTGTTGGACCGCTTCCACCATCTCAAGGCTACCAATATTGTCTAACCATGATCGACAGGTTTTCTTGTTGGCCAGAAGCAGTTCCAATTAAAGACCAGACGGCTGACACCATCGCCAAGACGTTCTACTCAGTGTGGGTTTCACGATATGGTTCTCCCAAAATCGTCACTATCGATCAAGGCCGCCAGTTTGAAAGTACTCTCTTCAAGGCTTTAACAAACTTACTGGGAACCAAACGGATACGCACAACTGCTTATCACCCACAAGCTAATGGACTTGTTGAGCGCTGGCATCGCTCATTCAAGGCAGCCATTAAGTGTCATCAAACTGCTGACTGGGTAAATATCCTTCCAACAATTCTACTAGGCCTCAGAACCTGCTACAAAGAGGACCTCAAGGCTTCAGCTGCTGAATTCCTTTTCGGTTGCACCCTCCGACTTCCTGGAGAATATTTCTTCAATGAGGATATGCCTCCAGAACCAGACACTTTTCTACAACACTTCCGTGAGGAGATCAGGAAAATTCAGCCAGTTCCAGCAAGTCATCATGTCAAGAAGTCAGTCTTCATTCACAAAGACCTATTTACCTCCAGTCATGTCTTCATACGAGATGACTCTGTCCGGACTCCTCTTCAACCACCTTACAATGGCCCTTACCAAGTTTTGTCAAGGACCGACAGAAACTTTTCCATTCAAGTTGGAGACAAGCAACAGACAGTTTCGTTAGAGAGGCTTAAACCAGCTTTTCTGCTCAAGACAGAAGACGACCCCGCTCACGATCCAGGACCTCAACCGCCACTACGTACCTATATGGGACCCCGAGCTCGTAAGCAAGTTCAATTTTCCCTATGAACTTTATCCGGGGGGGAGTACTGTGGGCGTTCTAACAGTATGCCTTCTGACAGGCCGCCACAGATTAGTTTACTCCACGGCAGGAAAGTAGCAACCCTCAATGGTCGACCAGCTGATGTCTGTCAATCGAGGAAGAGAAAAAAGAAGTCTGTGGATATATTCGACCTTCGACACACGCATTTTCGCGCTAAAAAACCGAATTCTCATATTTTGTAATAGTGATTTAGTTTGTAACTACTTATCGAGTTAATTAAATAACTTAATTGTTTAGTGTGCCTAATTTCAACCTGTAAAGGCCACAAATGTTTCGATTTAGCGCCATCTGTGTGGAAATTTTGAAAGTGAGCGGAAGTATTCGAAACTATTCACCTGTCAACAACGCCAATCAATACTTCTGGTCAAAATAATTAAAACTAAAACATTTTTATTTAGTTATTATTTAATTAATTCCATTGTGAAAAAAACGTTTGCTGGTTACATTTTTCTTCGGTCTCCTGTTGGGTATGGGTAGTGGCTGTTATTACATTTATTCCTAAAACAAATCATCTTTGTAATCCGTATAATAAATAACTATAAAATCACATCAGAAAAATATTCTCACCATACCTATGTCCCTCCTTCTGCTTTTTAATTATAGTAGATACTATTAAAACTTGAAGAAAGCTTAAATGCAAAAACTGCAGAACAAAATCCAAACAATAAAGTAAGGTTATGTTTTCATATTTGTCAGAATATCAAACAAATTATGGGAAACTGTTAATGCACAAAACAGGTACGAAATCGGTAAACGTGGGCCACATCTGTTTCTTAAAGTTTCGAAAAATTTGGCACTAAGATCTTTCTTATTATAGCTTATGTAGCAAAACCATATTTGGTAAAATGTTTCGAAACAAAAAGCGATTTAGTACGAAACATAATATGTATCAAGAATGTGACGAAACTGTTTCGCGATGTTTCTCAGCAGAAATCTTGTTTGATTTTGTGTCTAAAAATGCTACTTGGGCTATATAGTTACCGACGCGCACGATTCCCCACTCCCAACATGTAATATTTTTTATTATTTCTTTTTAGGAAGAATATAAGGCTTAATTCTTAAGGACTATGGGTACAAAGCTTGCAACATTGGGACATCGAAAGAGATGATAGAAAACGGTAGAGGCTTATATCCAGGAATTACCAAATAAAGTGGCAGAGTGGACAGTATCAATTCGGATAAATTTTCATGAGAACTACTGGGAGAAAAACAATCTTTATCAAAAAGAACATACGCTTAAAGAAATTTCATAGAATCTTTAAACATGTAATGTGTATGACAAAAGTATGATTCGGCGTACTTGTAAAAAATGGTTAACGTGTTCTCATTAGTTGCTATTAGAAGGTCACTTGTGCCAGAAAGACAGACAGACAACCGATGTAGATAAATATGAGGTTGACGTAAAACAGATAAAAAGGATTTAAAAACACCAATAAATAATAATACACACACCGGAAAAGTCTAGGGATATCACAATTTTATCCAGCCATCGTCAGTAATTTTATTATTTGCATTTCTGATTTCTGATAATAAAATTAAAATAAACAAATAGTTTACAGGACGTATTGGAAATAAAAATGCGAAATTTACCGAATTTGTCACATTTACCTTGATTTTTATTGAACTCCAAAAAATACACCCATTTTTTTTTATTCTAAACTGTGAATTAAAAAAAATAGATAAAACCATTTTTACTTAATAAAGGGTATGGCGTCCTCTACTGTTCATTACAGCCCTACATCGTCTCTCCATGCTCCTGATCAGGTTGTCGATCTCTTCTTGAGGTACAGCCTGCCACGCTGTGTAGCATTTTTTATTTCCTTTAATAAAAATTGAATTTAAAAATCTATTTTTATTTAAATTTGTGGGCGTTCTAACAGTATGCCTTCTGACAGCCCGCCACAGATTAGTTTACTCCACGGCAGGAAAGTAGCAACCCTCAATGGTCGTCCAGCTGATGTCTGTCAATCGAGGAAGAGAAAAAAGAAGTCTGTGGATATATTCGACCTTCGACACACACATTTTCGCGCTAAAAAACCGAATTCTCATATTTTGTAATAGTGATTTAATTTGTAACTACTTATCGAGTTAATTAAATAACTTAATTATTTAGTGTGCCTAATTTACAACCTGTAAAGGCCACAAATGTTTCGATTTAGCGCCATCTGTGTGGAAATTTTGAAAGTGAGCGGAAGTATTCGAAACTATTCACCTGTCAACAACGCCAATCAATACTTCTGGTCAAAATAATTAAAACTAAAACATTTTTATTTAGTTATTATTTAATTAATTCCATTGTGAAAAAAAACGTTTGCTGGTTACATTTTTCTTCGGTCTCCTGTTGGGTATGGGTAGTGGCTGTTATTACATTTATTCCTAAAACAAATCATCTTTGTAATCCGTATAATAAATAACTATAAAATCACATCAGAAAAATATTCTCACCATACCTATGTCCCTCCTTCTGCTTTTTTAATTATAGTAGATACTATTAAAACTTGAAGAAAGCTTAAATGCAAAAACTGCAGAACAAAATCCAAACAATAAAGTAAGGTTATGTTTTCATATTTGTCAGAATATCAAACAAATTATGGAAACTGTTAATGCACAAAACGGGTACGAAATCGGTAAACGTGAGCCACATCTGTTTCTTAAAAGTTTCGAAAAATTTGTGGCACTAAGATCTTTCTTATTATAGCTTATGTAGCAAAACCATATTTTGGTAAAATGTTTCGAAACAAAAAGCGATTTATGTTACGAAACATAATATGTATCAAGAATGTGACGAAACTGTTTCGCGATGTTTCTCAGCAGAAATCTTGTTTCGATTTTGTGTCTAAAAATGCTACTTGGGCTATATGATTACCCGACGCGCACGATTCCCCCACTCTCCCCAACATGTAATATTTTTTTATTATTTCTTTTTAGGAAGAATATAAAGGCTTGAGATTCTTAAAGGACTATGGGTACAAAGCTTTCAATCGTCCCAATGACGAGTTAGAGTGCCGTAAAGCTTACATGAGAAGATTATATAATGGTGCATATGATGACATCAAACAATAATTTGATAGTATGTGATGATTTATATAGGGCTAGCATACTACATGTAATATTCCTAATAATTCATGCAAAATAATTAATTTACATTCTAGATGCTAGAAGTGTGCATTCAAAAACTTGTAATCAAACTTAGTTATAAAAACTGGGCAGATTTTTGGTTATACAGAAATAGTGCATATTACATAGTACTATATTTCATAAATAAAAGCATAATAAGCACTTATGTTATTATCTAAAATATAATATATATTATGTAACATATTATATACTAATATTAAATTTATTAAATGTTAACTTTGACATTCTTTTTTTTTTCACCAGACCAATATAGTTCAGATTATTTTTATTAAGAGTGATAGTGACATACAGTGGAAGATCTACACTTTTATAGGGAGGAGGGCCAAATTCGCAGAAAATATGATTTTTTGGACGATTTTATAAACTTTCAAAAACGACTCGCCCCAGAAACAACATTATAGGCTGATCCAAGGGGGAGGAGGGGGGGCAGGCTCACCCATAGGGCCACCACAGGTGACATAATATGTAAATCTGTTAGGTACTATTATGTTGTTTACTCGTTCATTGTAGGTATTAAGCTACTTATATTTTTACTTGTATAATTACAATAATGTTACGGATTCTGTATGTCCACTAATTTACTCACGATAAAATACCTAACGAATTTATTAATTTTTCTCACTATATACACAATTTACTATGCAACTAACAATACAATTACTTTAACGAACGCTTTTTCCAGGCACCTTCGCCAAGTTGTCACGGTTCACAATAATTCAAAACTGACTGTATTTCAAAAACTAAACTAAACTGCCGAGCGCGGGTGCTTTTTATATCTCCTAACGGCTGCTTCTAAGACGTTCGAAAATTGTCAGTAACTTTTTTTTTGGTTGTGGTAATTTCCGCTGATTGGGAATTAAAGAACTCGCTTTTCTTCTACTTGGTTCGCTCCGTGGGGATCACACAACTTGACATTGCCCCCTTCTCCAATTTGATCGAGATCAAGATTTCATAATAACTAAATCTATCCAGATGAACTACTTTGAAAGTGTTGTGAAAAATCTTCTAGAGCTGCGTTGAATCCGGTATACAATATCATTTATCCTCTGGCTGTATAAGGACCTTTCCATGCTGAAGTTAATTTTGGAGACCTTTATTTCTTGCGCTGCGGGTTATATAGCCATACAATATCGTCCTGTTGAAATCCCGTAGAGTTAGCTCTGAGGTAGTAACGAGCTTTCATCCGGTCACTGGCTAGCGCAATCTTACTTCTAACGTTCTTATGAACTTCCAATAACCTTTCCTTCAGTTCATCCGCATACTTCTCCACGTTCGTGGTGTTGTCATCTGGATCCGAACGCCAAGTCACAAGGAAACCGTTATTCTCAACCAAATAAAATCTTCTATCGTGAAAGTTCGGTAGTGTTGTGAACTGCATTTCTATACGCCATTAGGGATAGCGGTATGTGCTGATCCCAATCTCTTTGATGTTCATCCACCACTTTCAAAAGGTGTTATTCAATGGTCTTATTGAATCTCTCGACCATCCGATCGGACTGCTGATGTAAAGCCGTTGTCCTAGTCTTGTGAATACCAAGCAGATCACACACCTTCTGAAACACTCATGACTCGAAGTTCCTTCCTTCCTTGGTCAGTGTGAAGCTCTAAGGGAATTCCAAATCTACTGAAGACATTATTGACTAATACTTCAGCTACAGTCGATGCTTCTTGATTTTGAATGGCAAAAACGAGTCATTTACTGAAATAATCCATCGCCACTAAAATGTACTTGTTATCCTTGTTCGTTTCAGGGAATGGGCCTGCAATGTCAAAGGCAATTCTTTCGAATGGAAGTCCAACGTTATATTGTTTCATTTTCCCCTTAGATCGAGTGCTTGGTCCCTGGCAGCACAAATTTTGACATTGTCGACACCATTTCTTGACATCTTCGCAATAATCCACCCAATAAAAACGATCTCTCAGTTTGCTCAAGGTCTTGCTAACTCCAAGATGGGCATAATCCAGCATAACCAACATCAGAGACAGCGATTTGTGACGTCACCGCAATAGTCCGGCTTTTGAATTGTGCTATATATGGTACTGCATATAGTTTTAGCATAAATAATAGTATTTATTGATATTTTCGCCAGATATAAATATGAAAAATATTACACACAAAGGTATTAAAAAATAACATTAACTTTTTATCGCGTTAAAGAGTAATAGCATTAAAATTTAGATCTAAAACACGAATATTAATATGAAATAAACTACAGCATAAGATGAACAGAATAAAATCCAGATAATAAAAAGCATGTCTTCAAAATTGCGTTAGCGAGTATTTAGCAACTAGTAATAATATACCTTGTAATAAAAAGTTTCCAAATATTAAAAAAATTTGAAAACTATACGTTCATCGACAATTATAAATAATTTGTAGTTCGATGTTCATCAAGTAACCGTCTCCATAAATCGTAAATAAAAAGATATCATTTTTTTTATATAAAATACTGAAATAAAGTAGGGGAGAACGGGTAACAATGAGACACGGGGAACAATGAGACAGATTGAATAGCTTAAACACTATTGGCTTGTGCTATGGCGCCATCTGTGTATAAAGCGGCAAAACATGCATAGTTTCTTATTTTATTGCCTTAACCTGTGCCTTAACCTTCTTGGTCAGTCGGAAGAGTTGTTTCAAACTAAGAGATTCGAAGCTCCGTTAAAACTAAAAAATAGTCGTGTGTGAAAATTCAATTTTTCTTTTTGTGTGTTAATGTAATATAGACCATAACCACAAATTACCTATAACAGATGCGAAAGAAAGCGACTGCATCGGAAACCGCTCGGCAAACCCGACACGCCTATTGAGTGGTGTAAATACACCAGTCGTTTAGTCCGGAAACCTATGCTGTGTCGTATTCGCTTGCTGGAATGACATAGTGCGTGGTTATATGTTTCTTTTTAAAAACGCGTGTAGGATTTTTCTTGAACTTTTGAACTGTATTTCTAAGTTTTGGTAATTTGTATATCTTATTTAAAATGGGATGCAAATGTGTTTATTTATAAGGGAAAAAAAGATATTTATAGTATAAAAAATTAATTTATTTAACAAAATTTAATAAAAATGTGACAAAATAGTTACCTTTCTATTGGTACTATCGGACTTTTTTCGACTATATAAATCTTTATTTGTAAACTTTAATACATAAAGTATTTTCAATCTAATAAATCATTTAATGATGTAAATAAGAGGAAATTTCTCACATGGGTGGTCAAATTTTATAGTTTTCATTATATCAAACAGCCTCTGAGAAATCTTTTCAACTCAAAATGCCTTTAATTATGTTTGACTGCATCATTAAAAAGGGTCTTCAAATACATCAATGTGATATTTGTCTAAAATTTGCAAAAGAATCCGAATCTCTGGATAACTCGAATTTTTTTACCCATTTAAAACCCTTTGATCATGAAAGTGGAAAAATTTGTTCATTTTATTTACAGGCTGGAAAAATTATTTATATTAAATTTTGATGAGTTTTGCACTGAAGAAAACATTCAGAGGCTGTTTGATATAATAAAAACTATAGAATTTGACCACCCATGTGAGAAATTTCCTCTTATTTACATCATTAAATTATTTATTAGATTGAAAATATTTTATGCATTAAAGTTTACAAAAAATAAAGATTTATATAGTCGAAAAAAGTCCGATAGAACCAATAGAAATGTAACTATTTTGTCACATCTTTAATTAAATTTTGTTAAATAAATTAATTTTTTATACTATAAATATCTTTTTTTTTCCTAATCTCCTACGAGCTGATATAATATGACGAGCAATCTATTAAATTACTGTGAGATTATACAGAAAAGTCCACAGACTTCGAGACATAGGAAAATCAAGTCCATTTAGCGTGTGTCCAAATTTTGACAAGTTTTCAAAAATGACAGTTTTGTTTAGACTGACGTTTAATTTCACCTGACTTCTCGGTGAATGATTTCTTTTTATGGGGGTACATAAAATCTAAAATTTACGGCCATGAAGAAATTCAAAACTTGGAGCAGTTAAGGCAGAAAATATTTAATGCCTTTGACACTGTCACCCCTGATATGTTATCCAATGTGAGGAGGGGATTTTATGATCGTTTGGGTTATTGTTTAATGCAAGAGGGAGGCACTTTTGAACAATTTTTGTAATTTTTTAAATTTCATTATCCTGTTTTTTTACCGTTTACCCATTACCTACCTTGACGAACATGGGAAAACGAAGGTCCTTTTCAGGACCACAAATATTTTGATTGAGAAAATTGGTAACTTTTTTTTGGATTAAAAAACAAAAGTTGTTAATATAATACCAATTTAAAAGTGTTTTAGTAGTTTTAATACACACTATGATATAAAATTTATTATTATTATAATGTACATTATTAATACTATTGTTCATTCGAAATGGCATTAAGGCCCAATTGCAACAATGATTTAAATTATTCTTAAAGATAAGTAGAGCTTAGAATGAGCTGTATTTATATTTACTTTAATATTCACCTTAAATTTGACTGATACAATTTTTGAATTTGAATTGTTTTTAATGATACCACAGATTAGGTATCCTATAAGTATACAGATAAAAATCCTGTCCCTAATTCGTGGTACGAAAATTGTTTTTTATGACGATGTGCAAACGAGTCAAATTTCATGTGCGCAAAAATAAACTCGCCTAAAATAACAATAAACAGCGTAATAGAGAGATATCGCTAAACCGAATAGCGTGCATGGACGTTAATAAGGCCAGGTGTTATTTCCTTTACGTGAGGTGGTATTAACTCTCTTCATTTATAGTTATCGGATCGGAAAGAATTCTGATCGCGTCGCGTCCGCTATTTAAACTTAACCTAACTTTGAATTTAAAACTTTGAAATTGTTTTGTTTACTAGGTATTTTAAAACTAAAGGGCTAAAGTGCTTATTTCCAGTGCTTTATTGTTCAACGTCTGCCAGTGGATTTATGGCAACAAGCAACAAATTCTCTTAGAAGGGCTAAGTCGTCATCTGCTGTAAACCTAAGACTCTTTATAGGTTCTTTAGTATTGGAAGAGGTGGAATCCATATTTTGGGCCATATTTATTTAATTAAAACTAATCCCAGCTACTTAAATATCAAATTACCTAATAAAACTAAAGCAATAATTTAAAACAATTCAAACATAACCTAAAATAAAAGAT